TCGGAAGAGGTGAAGCGCACCGGAGGAACAGAAAAGTCGATAACCTTCAGGGTCCGATTTAGGGTGGGTTGACTTTTACCAATATTGACCCAATCATCGCTCGCCACGTCATCTGGTAATCCCTGAACCCACACCGTCTCCGTCTCGCCATCGAGACCTAATCGTTTGTCGTCTCCGAACGACATATGCCGGCGGCGAATATTCCGATAGTAAGCTTTTTTTTTTTTCGTACCCTTTACTCTGTAGAATTAGAATACTCTATTGATCATTTCCGGTTTCCGGTTTTTGCTTCTGTGTGATTCAATCGAGTTTTGGTGGTTTTGGACGACGAATGCATCAATTTGCTAATATGGATTTGGGATTTTTGGCTTAACCCTGTCTGGGCAATTGGAAAGTTTGGGATTGGAGACGAAAAAGAAATGGAAGCGGGAAACTTGCTGAACTCTCGATATTTCTGCGTCCAGTGTCTTATAAAATTTTCAGCTTTGGTCTCCTCAGCATCTGAAATCACGACTCTGTAAACTCTGTTTGTATATACGGTTGATGGATTTGAGCATTCATAAACCCTTCTATGGAATGTTACGGTGCACAAAGAACCGTTTCTTCTCTTTTCTTCTTTGAGTTCTGTTTTTTTCTCTTTTTTTTTTCAGTGTTGTGAAGAGGATTCTGCAGTCCTGTTTGTATTCACTTCTTGAACTAGAGATTTTCAGTGACAGTCATGTTGTAGAGCCTATAGAGGCTGTGATTTAAGGCTTACCGTCGTGTTTCTAAGAGAATAAAGAAAATAATGGGGCCTTTCTCGAGCATTTCCGTTGTGGTTTTGTTGGCCACGTAAGGTTGTCGATGATCTAGTCTGTCAGGGTTCTTGGAATTTTTTAGAGAGGCTGCTAGGGGCTTGATAATCGATTGTTCTCCTCTTACAATGCTGAACGGAAATCATAATACAACCCCCTTTTTCCAGTGGATTTCAGGATCGAAAATGATGTTTCTGCTGGGATGATGGGATGTCCAGACGGACTAGAGGCTAACACCGTCGAGAACCAGAATGAAATTGGTCAAAATTCCGGTCAAGCAATGCTCGAGCAAGATGAAGTTCATAAAGTAGATCCAGATTCTGCAGAGAGGGATACCCCTGTAGGAGTTCCAGCTATGCCAGAGGTCCCAGCAGATGAGCCCTATGTCGGGCAGGAGTTTGAATCTGAAGCAGCTGCACATGCATTTTATAATGCATATGCCACACGAGAAGGATTCGTCATCCGTGTAAGTAAACTTTCACGGTCGAGACATGATGGATCTCCCATCGGCCGGCAACTTGTTTGTAACAAGGAGGGTTACAGGTTACCTAGCAAGCGTGACAAGGTTATTAGGCAACGGGCAGAGACAAGGGTTGGTTGCAGGGCAATGATTTTGGTGAGAAAGGAAAATTCTGGGAAATGGGTTATCACAAAGTTCGTCAAGGAGCATACTCATCCTTTGATGCCTGGAAGGGTTCGAAGGGGTTGCATTTATGATCAATATCCCGTAAGTGACTTGCTGCTTTGCCCCCTTGGATATGGCAACATATTACCGACCTAAAGTATAGATCTTCTGGTTGAACTACTCGCTATCGGATCACTGAAGTCACATATGTAAATTTTCAGTTCCTGCAACATTTGAGTATAGCAGTTTAACCGTTGTTTTACAAACAAGGTATGAGATCCATAGACATGCCGATCAGTTACTGTATGAGAATCTGCATAGACATGTTTTGTTTGTCCTAAATGGTCATAGAAACAGAAATGAACCCCTGAATCGTTGTTCCTAGTTCTTGATTGATTACTATAGCATATTCCTGTCCTGATAGATTCTTTGGCTGCTTCAGTCTAGTTCATTATTCGAAAAGGTTGAATGCTAACCTTGTTTTCCTTGACACAGAATGAGCACGACAAAATCCAGGAGCTGATGCAGCAGCTAGCAGCGGAGAAAAAGAGAGCTGCAACATACAAAAGGCATCTAGAGATGCTCTTTGAGCAAATCGAGCAGTACAATAATTCCCTATCCAAGAGGATCCAACACATAGTAGACAGTGTGAGGGAGATAGAGCAGCAGAACGTATAGTCTTTCGTTAAAAATCTCCGGTCATATTCTTCACCCATTGATTTAAGAGATAGATATGTTCTCAGTTTTTTTCCTTCAGATGCTTTTGTATCTTGTCAGATCAATTTTGCGCTGTTATTGCTTCTTTTCCCTTGCTAATCGTAGGTTTCTTTTCAAACCCACGTTTCCAAGTGTCCTGAAAAGTTTGGTTTTGATGTATCTGCAATTGATTTTGGTCAGGAAAACAGGGTTTTGTAGGACAAACACATACAGCCCTTTCATCCACCCCGTAAGTGAGATTCAAAGCACCGTTAAGATCCTCTGTAACATTTTCCTCTTCTTAAAATCTGATATACAATTTCATTTCCATTTGCGTACCCTTCTTGCTTGTGTATGAATATAAATGTTTCAATGATTATTGCGGTCAAGAAATCATAGGACAGAATGGAAATGAAAGTATATGTCACAGTTCTAAGATGATGGATGCCACCCCTGGGTTTTAGGACATGAACCAACTCTCTGTTCCAGAGTTCGGTCCTTGAGGCTTATGCTGAGCGACAAAATCTATTCTTTTTCACATAAATGGTCTTGAGCGTGCCTGAATTCCCAGTTAGAATGTTGCTGAATAAAACAGTCAACAGACCAAGTCTTTAGGGGACTTTATCGAGTTCATATACACAAAATCAACAGTATGAATCGTAGAGAATTAGGGTTCCTGTAGGCATATATGGATGTGTGGGCTGCACTTAATAGATTCTCTCTGCGATTTGCTGGATGGGTTACAAAACAATATCACACTGCTGCACATATATACGGAAAGCTGATAGGAACCCTAAAGATCTCAAGCAAGAACATAAAAACAGCATGAGAAGGTGAATATGTTGCAGGTCATATGCACTGTGCAAGCTTTTGCAGGCACATTATCTGACCCATCAGAAGCTATTTACAGAAAAGGAACAAATCGATTGGAAAAAAAAACAGAAACATCGGGTCTCAAGCCTTGAACTTGCCAAAGCCGCTACCTTTCATCATATGCAGAAACTCCTTGTAGTTAACCCTACCATCACCATCCACATCTACCTGGATGATCATCTTCTTGCAATCCTCTAGGGTTTTACCTTGCTTGAGCTCCAAGGAACCACCCATCACAGACTTCAGCTCCTCCACTGTGATAAACCCATCTCCGTCCTGGTCAAACACGTTGAACGCGTCCTTCATGCCATCGTCTTCTTCATCGTTCTCGTCCATTATCGACATGTACAACGACTCAAACTCATCCATGTCGACACACCCATCTCCGTTTTCATCGATCTTGCAGATCATCTGTGTCAGATCTTTGTCGGGTATGAAGAGGCCGAGGCTCTCTAGATAGTCGCTGAGTTCTTCTTTGGTGATTCGGCCGTCTCCGTTCTTGTCGAACATCTGGAAGACGCGTTTCAGCTCCGCCGGGTCTATTCTCGACGGAGATGGCGGAGGAATCTTGTTGGGATTGTTGGCGTCGTGGAAAAGCCTTCTGAGTTTGATGGGGATCAGACAGAGGAGGCGTGAGTTGAAGAGATTGTACAGAAGGAAAATTCTCACCATTAGTGGGGGCATAGTAAAGGGTCAAGCTTTTCGATTCTCCTTCTTGAGCTTCACACGAAATCTCAGAAACAACAACAGAAGAAACGAGGAAGAGAGATGTTGAGGAGGCGTTTCTGTGAAACTGAGAACTTTGGTCGTTTCTTTCGTTGTAGAGAAAAAACTTGGAAAGGAAATCGCATCTCCATTTATAGGACGATGGAGAGAGAGAGAGAATACACTGCAATATATGTTGGAGAAAACAAGATTAAATATACACAATATTCTCATATATATACACATATACACGTACATATATACAAATATATACATATGTACATGTATACACATATATGCTTATACACATGAACACATCTATACACATACACATGTTTATACCTATATATACACATACATGTATATATAGGTATAAGTATATGTATATGTGCGTAGTTGAGTGTATTTACGTATACGAATACGTGTATAAACATATATATATATTGTGTGTATATATGTATTTAAGCATATATAGATATATATATATATATATATATATATATATATATATATTATGTGATGTTTTTTAGAAGATGGCGTTGATATGACGATTTTTCGGCGAACCATGTAAATACTAAATTTAAAAGTATTTTACAAATTGATATATTTTTCAAAGGTTTATAAATTTATATATTTTTAATAGTATTTATTAAATTTATGTATTTTGATGAGTTTCTCCCTAAAAAAAATAAACAATAGAATATCATGGTGTAAACATGCCCGAAAACGCGTGAAGAATAAATTCTGATTAGAGAGAATCCATTAAATTAAGTAATAAATTTGTCAAAAACGCGTGATCATAATTGCGGCTCTCTTGGGGTTTTGTCTTGTGTCCCGGCCGTTTTACTATTAGATTTATATAGTTAATTGTCGGCTTCATCCTATGAATCTTTATTTTTTTTTTCTCTCTTTTTTCTAATTATTGTTGTTTAATACCAACCGCAAGAAAATAATTTTGTATAATTTCATATTGCCTAAAAAATCTTATATTTACAGAAATAGCCAAGGTCCAAAAAGAGCAAAGATGAATACGGTATAATACATTAGTGACTATGTATGTATATATTTTACTAAAAAAATGGCTTGTATTTTTGAGCTTCTAACTTTTTTGTTTTCTTAATTTCCTTCATTTGAATTCCATAAAAGAGAGAACAAAAAAAAAATGAACAGCAAAAACATAAAAGAGAACATATTATTGTTATTATTGCTAGCACCTCAAAGTTCATAAAAGAAATATGAGAATTTAATCGTTATTCTATAGAATTTGGTAGCTCTCTCATTTAAAATAAGAAATTTTTTTCCCGGAAATATGTAACTTATTTTCTTTTACCTTCCATCTCATAATGATTGACGTTTCAAACTATTTTTTTTATGTTACTAAATGATTGTCATTTTAGTTTTTTTAGATAATTTTTTTAAAATAGTTTTTAATTTTATTCTTAATAAAAGCTAACAAAATTTAATAAATTATTAATGATTTTTGTGTTAGTGAAGGGTATACAATACTTTTTCTTTATTTTCTTAGAAAAAAGCAATACGTTGGTCGTTGGCGATGTTAACGGATCTTGGAATCATTGTAATTTGTGTCGTCGTTTCACCATTGGTGGACTTCCTTACACGTGTCCCTTTTAAAAAAAAGTGTGCAAATGTATTTTTTTTTTCTATAGTCGATCACATGCACATTTGTCTTACAACGAACAATTTTTTTTCCCAAATTCATGAATGATTAAATTGAATTTTCTAATGTCAGTGGATAATTTTTTTTTTATCTAATTAGTTTTTCGAAATTATCAATCTAGGAGTATTAGGATCAAATTTTATAAAAAAAATAATGTGAATAATTATCAAGTTAGAAAAATTACCAAGATTCCATTCCGATCAAATATATCCTCGCAGCATTTTTTATATTCTTTGGATCATGGAATTTATCATCACATAATATATATATATATATATATATATATATATATATATTATTAACTGAGTATCCTAAAGGACCTAAACCAAGGATCACACTAACACGGGACCGATACACATAATATATTCTTTATGGTTTCTTCTCATTAATATTTCATAATATTACTAATATTCTAGCAGGTTTATTAGCTTAACAAGATCCAAGACTCTTTGACTTGTATTGTGCTTGTGCAGACATTAGGATTGTCTTCACCTCATGCAACCTTAGCACAAAGAAATTTTTTGTTTGGCAATCACAGTCTTTCGGACGTGGTGATAAACCCACAACTTTGTGTAATAATCTGTAAATCACGTGAAATAGATAAACCATCCAAAAAATTATAGATTCATTCGAGTGTGAAATCAAATACATACTGTTTTGAAAAATCATGAACTCTTTTGCCACTATATCAGATTCCGAAAGATCCTTCACATATTGAATTATATATATATATATCAAGAGATTTGTGGAATATAGGACCGTGTTATATTATTAATTTGACCAATTAATGTGCATAGATAGATAGATATAGAATCTACATAATTCCACTAAAAAACTATAAAGTAATCCAATCTAAACATTGACACTAATGCTATTAAAAATACAATTGCATAATAGATTTCAATTTAAATGTTTATCATAGAAAGTATCTGGTACTTCAAAATACCTAAACAAAATTTTCAAAACCGTTATCACCAACGGTGGGATCGATTATATATAAAATTCTTTCTTTGCATTTACTTTTTTTATATTAATGATTATCGATAGTAACCATTATATTTATACATAATATTATAATAAGCAGTGATACAACTAAGAGACCATATGCTATATGGTAATCAAGTGTAGCAGTCCAAATAACAAAGCATATGTATATTGAGACAAGCCGCTTAATGGGCTTACATTGGGCCTCATAAGGCCCAAATTATTCTATATTTTCAGAATTCGTCGTCAGCTCGATTTCTCCTACAGATTCAAAAGTCAAATTATCGGAAGTGGCTTGTTTCGTCTGTTCGGTCTGGTCTGGTCTTTCCCCGTACTCGCGGATTTCAAAAGCGAGTTACTTTTCCCAGAAATTTTCTCTCTTTCTCGGCAGAATTCCCGGAAAAATCTCCCCATCAGGTAAAACTCACTGAAGTTTCCCATGGAATTCGTCGAACGCGTCTTTTACTTCCAAACTTTGTTATGCTCTTGATGAAAACGGTTTAAGCTTGTTCGTTTTCTGTTCAGTTTCTTCTGGGAAATGCAACTGAAGGAATTAAATTGAAATTTCTATGTTCGTTTATTGGGTATGTTTCGGTGAAGTATCTTCGGTAGAGGTTTCAAAATTCTCTTGCCTTCGTTTCTTCTCCAGTACCTTAGCTAGGATTATAGATATAGCGAGCGTCAGGTAAACATTTTCTTTTCCCATTCGTGATTTATCCGTTAATTTATGCTCGGTAATCGGTTCGTTGCTTCAGGAATTTCCAAAGGTTTGAAAGTATGAGCAAAGGTTGGATTGTCAATGTTTGGTTTTTCATAATGTTCTGTCTGTTCTCTTTGATCCCAGTTTCAACTTTCAAGTATCTGTTCACTACGCTGCTTAGTTGAATGGTGTCCATTGATCTGTTTTCCAATCTGGGTTTACTTCCTTTTGAAATGATGTAGTAGCGGTGGAAGATGGTGAGGAAAGAGGACGTGGATTTCTACTGTAGCTTCTCGCGTAAAGAGCTTCAAAGTTTATGCAAGAAATATAACTTGCCGGCTAACAGGTCAAGTTCGGACATGGCTGAATCACTGGCTTCTTATTTTGAGGTATGCCTTTGCCCCCGCGGCGTTACTAACTTCTTAGAATTAGCTGAGGAGAGATGGAAATTGTTGCATCTTCACTCGTAGGGATGAATTGTAATCTGGAATCATCAAGATGCTTTTTTCGTGTTTTGCTTATCGAACAATCAACATGTTCACATGTCCTGATCTATCTCAACCGGTTTTCTTTTTCTGGCAACTGATTTAATCCTGTCATGTCATAAAATTTCAGAGAAACAGTTTGAGTGGAACAGGGAATGCGAAAAAAGGTCGGTTAATCTTCTGTTGGCTGAGTGTTTCTTGCTTTTAGGTTGAACTATTCATGAAGATTAATGTTTGTGTATCTGTGCAGGTTATGATGATAGTAAATTGGAAAATATCAGAGAGGTTCATTCTCAAACTGCAAGGGCTAGAGATACAGGCTTTACCCTTGTGGATAAGACATATTACCAGGTTTGATTCAACTTATTGTCAATCGTCTCTGCGCGTAAATATGATTTTTGGGCTACAATTTGTGCATCACATCTATTTGCACTGCTTCTATGGTATATGCATTTCCTGTTAGTTTACTGAGGCCTGAGGGCTACCTTGTTCCTTCTTCTAGTCTAGGAAATGAAAATACTATGCATCGATGAGTTTGATAGAGTTTCCTATTATTTTGTTTTGTTGACAAACTCCTGAGAAACACTGAAACATGCACTATTAAAATAGGGATATCATGGTTTCGTTCTTTATGTCAGATCCTGCACATCTTCGTCATCGTCCCCAATGTCCTTTGATGTTTTTTTTTCCCGCTCTTTTGCTTTGTAAGTTTTGAGGTATCCTAAATCTCGTCGTGGAGTTGCAGGAAATGCATGGTGGTTCTGTTGAATCTGCATGTGCTCGTCAATTTATCAGGAGTTTGAATGAAAAAGGCCCAACAGGAGATTCGGGGAAGGATCTTCATCGGGGAATGGACTGTTGGTTAGAAAATAGAACAACAGAGTTAAACACAGATGAACGTCCTCAAGAAACTCATTCCCCACGATGTAGAACGTATTCCACGTTTGAGTTTCATGTCAGTTCAGAAGAGGGTATCAACCTTTCAGTTGATCTAAATTTCAACCCATCAGACTGGATCAATAGTATGACAAATGAGGTCCGTATATGTAATAGCATCCGTTCCAAGAAATCTCGACTTTCTGATGAGGGCACCGATTACCATACAGAGAGTAAGAAACAAAAAAGTGAGTCCCCTTTGAACGTAAATCCTGGGTTAGGCAAGGATGGTCCTGCAGTGGAAGAATCTTCTATAAGCCTGCCATTGAAAGGCAACAGTCAAATACCACCCGATCATCAGCCCAGCGGTGGAGGATCTTTAACGTCAACCGTGATAGAGCCATGCAGCACAAAAAGAGATGCCTCGGACAGGTATAAGGAAGACCAAAGGCATAATTTGTACATACCTGATCCTGATGCTTCAGCACCTGGCCAGATTGTCTCTTGTGCTGAATTGTGTAGTAACAGTTGCTGCATGGTTTCACTTGAGTTGGACTGTGTTATGTCTCCTGGAAAGAAGACGGCAAGTGATTCTGTTACTGTTACTGCAGAATGTCCAAGTACTCTTGATACACGAGATAATCTGATGGGTGAGCTCCCTAATGAAATTTCGGAGAATCCATCCCAAGAAAGTCCTCGCAAAGTTGGAAACTCGAGTACTGTTACTCCTATATGTCCAGGAGGAGGTGGTTCTGAAACATCATCATCGGAAACAACGCCCTACCGGCTGAAAGCTTCATGCTCTCCTTGTAAGACCAGTAGATCCCCAAATCTGTCTGAATCAGAGCCCGTCAAAGATACAAATGCAAAAGCTTATTCCAAATTAATCTTCCAGTACAATGCAGGCAAGAACTGTTTGGCATCAAATGTGGCGGAGCAGGTGGGTTCTACTCGTTCTCACCCATTTTCTACCCGCAGGAAACCCCATATTTGTTGGTTTTATGCAAAAGGATACCATTGTTGCTTCATCTTTCTCATTTTCCCCTTCAGGAAAAGAGCGAAACCATTAATGGGCAGGAGCCGACAGAGTTACTTGTTTGAACATCCCGCATATGGAACATATTTTGCAGTGACAGAAGAATGGCTATTTACTTCCTTCCAGATTTTCTCCCAGTCAATCTTTTGGTAAAAACCTGATTAAAAGGAGTAAAACCTGATATAAAGATGCCAAGGAATCACCCTTCTGGCATAAAGATGTGTGCTGCTGCTTTTGGAGGTATGCTTTTAGTTTTCGTTATATCATATAGATCCTATAACCATTGGATTAGAAAGGAACCCGTATGGATTTTACTTCAAAAATCTTTTTCATTCACTTCTTTTGGCTACTTTGATATTGTATGTTCTAGTGTGACATGCCGGGTTTCATGACTGAATTTGCTCTGCTTCTAGGATTCATTTATGGCCTATGAAAATAATTTATTCAAGTTCAATCAGATCACTTCTGACTACCAATGGGTTTCGCCATGACAGAAGCCAGAAGTCAGTGGGCTGTAAGTATGGATGGAGATCTTTGCCTTTTTTCTTTTCCATGTCATTTTGAGATCCGACCAAGTTTAAGAACCAAGAATTCTGTGTCTTTTGTTACATCATTTGCAGAATATGTGCGGCCATAATCCTACAATTGCCCTTTGTCCGTAAACTTTTCAGAAACACGAAAAAACCCTGTGGAGAGTGTATTTTCGGCGAGGAAATTTCCGTGCGAGCTGGGGATTAGCCTCCAAAAACTTGCTGCATGTACCACAGCAGTGGAAGAAATGTAAAAAAAAAAAAGGCATGTACCTGAAACGTTTGTAGATGTTCTTGACTCCTGTATTGTGTGAATCCTTAGAATGGCGATGTAAGCTTTGATGTTGATAGTTTAATTGCAGGACCCTCGTGACATGTTTTTGTTGCCAAGAGGAACTTTCAGAGTTGTGTTTATATTGCATGTAATAAGATCCTCTGCTATAACACTTACAGTTACTCATAACGTCAGAAACGCCATTGATGCTTTCCCCAAAATGCTTCAGTATCTGAGGATCAAAAAAAGAGGGGAGAGAATGATAAATAAAACCAAAAACATGCCCTCACGCAGGATCGAACTACGGACCTTCAGTTTACAAGACTGACGCTCTACCACTGAGCTATAAGGGCTTCTGATGGAAATTTTAAAATATCTGACTTATTACTAACTTCTCTGAGAGCCAAAATGCCCTTGATGGTGTAGCTTGCTTCAGATTCTCTCATGGCTTCCATGCCTCCCTGTAAGGGAGATTTAGTCACAACGAAATACCTTTGCAAACATTAGGGAAGACGATTTGAAAAGGCGGATCAACCGTAAAAGAAATATCCAGTTAACACACACAGTAGACGGATAGGAGGGTTGGTCGATGGAGCCGATTCCATGCAGAACTGTTAAAGACAGCAATCAAGCTCATCTTCCCATCCTCCTAATGCCCTGAATTGCCCACTGCACACGGAAACCATGTTTCTCAACATTGGCCAGAGACGAGACATGTTGTAAGAAAGCCGTGCTTTCACAAGCATGATGCTGACGGTTAATGCTTGGCATCAACTGAACAAACCCCACGATTGAAGTCGAGTTCTTTGCCTGCAACAACACCAGGGCCCGATTTCTCTGCAACCCATCGGCGATGATGCCTTTGGAAAGGAAATTTGATTAGAACAGTCGATCATATTAAGAGCAGAGAAGAGATGATCGTCTTGGGGCAGCGGAACAACGTCCAAAAACTGATGGAAATTTTAAAATATCTGACTTATTACTAACTTCTCTGAGAGCCAAAATGCCCTTGATGGTGTAGCTTGCTTCAGATTCTCTCATGGCTTCCATGCCTCCCTGTAAGGGAGATTTAGTCACAACGAAATACCTTTGCAAACATTAGGGAAGACGATTTGAAAAGGCGGATCAACCGTAAAAGAAATATCCAGTTAACACACACAGTAGACGGATAGGAGGGTTGGTCGATGGAGCCGATTCCATGCAGAACTGTTAAAGACAGCAATCAAGCTCATCTTCCCATCCTCCTAATGCCCTGAATTGCCCACTGCACACGGAAACCATGTTTCTCAACATTGGCCAGAGACGAGACATGTTGTAAGAAAGCCGTGCTTTCACAAGCATGATGCTGACGGTTAATGCTTGGCATCAACTGAACAAACCCCACGATTGAAGTCGAGTTCTTTGCCTGCAACAACACCAGGGCCCGATTTCTCTGCAACCCATCGGCGATGATGCCTTTGGAAAGGAAATTTGATTAGAACAGTCGATCATATTAAGAGCAGAGAAGAGATGATCGTCTTGGGGCAGCGGAACAACGTCCAAAAATGATCCGAAAGTAATCCATCGTCTCCCTGCACTCTTCCTTGTCTGCGACCGGAACCACCGTATTCGATGATCGTCTTGGGGCAGCCAAACAACGTCCGACCACTCCGGTTTCCGGCTCAATGGAATCATCTCCCCCTCTTGGTCGAAATATATCTCTCTCTCGCTACATTGAAGACACTAGGAAGCAAAAAGCTACATTCTCTGACATCAGTTAAGAAATCCAGGATATTTTCAGATTTGCCCCGAAACTTTCCTTCCTTGTAATATTCGACACTGAAATTTGGAATTTGAATCTTTAGACCCTTCTCAAATGATAAAGTCCCACCAATGTGTACAATATAGCGAGAACGCATATACGAATACACACACAAAATACGAAGAGAAGACAAGGAAAGTATCAGATTGCCGTATCAATATACAACTGAAAATCCAAAGGATTTCATAGCAAAACAGCACAGAGGAAAGGTAGGTAGTAGGTACACAATGTGAGCCACAATTCCTCGTAGCTGAATCAACAATTTCAAAAAAAGAAAGGGAAAAAAAATTAAAAGAAGCAGAAAACTTTCATGGATATTACATTATACAGATGCTCTGTTTAGTTAATGTAAGCAAATCAAGGAAACCATGGTGTATTGTTTTGAGTTCAGTACCCTACTTGAGGAAGAATTTCCAGATGTCTCTGTCGGCTGTTTCCTTCACCAGATGAGCTCCGAAAATGGCTTCTTCATCAACCAAGTTTCTCAGGTGTCTTGCTCCACAGTTGAACCCGACATAGTGTTTCTTGGTGGACAAGTAAACTACTCCATATGGTGGTCTCACACACTGATTCAGACACATTTAACATGGACCACCATTGGTATGTTTTTCATATTTCTGTCTCTTGATTCACAACGGTGATTACAGTGAAAGAGAACTGACCTTCTTTATGAGGGCATATAGTTTCTTTAGAGAGGTGACAGAGTAGGGGATATCAGTCATCAAGATAATGTCGTATCCACACTCTCCTTGGTCCGTTTCATTGGCTCTTGCCCATGCCCGACTGCCTGAAAGTTTCCTTGAACGTCTTGACGAGAAATCCTGTTGTCCAATCGCACTCCCGTCTTGGCTACTACATCCATCCATGAAGTCCTCCTCCGAGAAGCTCAGGTTCATTACTGTGGTTGGCTCAGAGACATCGTTTCTAACTATGGACAGGACGGTTGGAAGCTCTTCCCAGTCTCCTGCATAGAAACGGACAGAAGCTGACACAGATTGTCTGGATGGTGTAAGCGGGCTTTCAGGCTGTCGGCTCTGCCTGTCCCTGGCTTGCTCAAGGTTTGCCAGGACATTTGGTATTGTTGTACATCTCACTGTTTCGGCATTGAGGTCTTGAAAGTGGACCGTAGAAGCACCCTGAACAAACCACGATATTGGGTAGGAGTCAGCAAATTGTGTAGAAGCAAGCAGTGAATGAAATGTTACAAGATAAGCCCACCCACTTTCAAGCAAGCGAATATCCCGGGAACTCCATAACCACAACCTAGCTGTTGCCATCACCAAAATCGTAAAACTATAAGTCAGCATACAAAAAGTTACATGAAATAGAATACAAGTTGTTTGTTATCATGGAACATGATTGCAGCACAAAACCTTCCAAAAAAAAAAACTTGAATAAGAAAATAATAGAGAGAAGAAAATTCGAGCTGACGGAGTTTTTCCGTGCCAGGAAAACAATAAAAATCGTGACAAGACTGACGGAGTTTTTCCGTGACAGGAAAACAATAAAAATCGTGACAAGACTGTGAAAAACGTAACTAAGAGACATTTTTTAGAAAGATATATAAAGTAAACTAATCACTACCGAGCAGTTATTTCAGTAGGAATACACAAATATGAGATCCACATTGCTGCTCATCCAAAACCAAGCCCGGCTAATTGCAGAATGTTACATGCCAAAGGAAGATAAATCTACGTGATTAGCATTACTTTGCAAGATATGAAGGTGCAATACAGAAGAGGAGGCACTACCTCAAGGACCCTCTTGCCCCTGAAGCTCAGTTGTCCATCACGAATCTCGTTTTTGAGGACACTAAGAAGATCAATAGAGCTTTCCCAACTTCTAAGAGACGCTGAACAGTTACAATCATAGTATTAAATAAAAAAACAACATTGCCCCAGATGCAGATGCAGTTCTATACTTTTGATGACAACTCATAGATCTTATCCATGTTTCAGAAGCCCAAGTCATCCCAAAGGCAAGAAAGATCAGAATGCCAATATGTGAAATGCATACCATCATGTTTTAGTGGAGTAATTTCTGCAACAGAGAGCCCGATTATATCAGCAACACTTACTTTCCCCTGCAAGAAAATAATGGATGCAACATTTAAATGAAGAAAATAATGAATAATGACTCAGATGCTCTTTCCCACCTCCATATGAATAAGATAGTAGATCTTATCTAAGCCAGCATTATAATACCCTACAGCATCATGGTACCTTCCCATCTATTTCGCACATAATGCTTGGACAAAGATTCTAATAACAAATTCGAACACTTTCCTCCCAGGCCTCAGGAGGCAAACTGGACGCATTAACACAAAAAAACCTTAACTACCCTCAAGATTAGAGTTTTGAGGTACCTTGAATATGTGTAACCCTTGCACGTCCATGTTCTCCCCCGAATACTTGTATGGATGAGCTGTCTGTGGAAGAAAAACAGGAGCATTTTTAACAATTCAAGTTATTGCAGCTAACCAACAATGTACCTGCCTCTTCCATTCCCGAAATGCGAAATCATCAGCTTCAATGGAGGGCATTTCTTCGTATATCTCAATCAGATAATGGTTATGAACTTCACTACGAAGAACTCGTGCTATGTTCATGATGACAAACCTTAGAAGGTACAATCTCAACCGCTGGTGTTGGAAGCTGCAAATCCCTGTCTGATAATGTAGACATACTGCCACGGTCACAAGGCACCAAGCCAGGCAAGCATTGCGCGAGAAGAGACGGTGCACGCATTTTAGTCCCAAATCTCAGCTACCCTTCAGCAGTGACAACCTGAAAACATCAAGCCTCTCTGAGCAACCTCATGTCATCCCAAAGCCCTAAACCCCAAACCTAATAACACCAATATAGGCATCACCATTTTCCCATTATAGAAACCTAAGCTGATGTAATCGTATGATAAAGCCATTGGTCTAAATATAATTGTAACATATACAACTCCAAACTAAAGTACCCTATCATAACCACGATTCAGAACCGACCCAATGGGTAGATCCACTCAAATCATAGAATTGAACCACACCCATAAAGGCAAACTCAATCATAAACAGGAAAAAAGAAGAAGACGAAAAAGGTAGAAAAACAAGAATCATCAAAGTTATCAAAGAACATTAATTCAATTAAACTTAACACCAGAAAGATCAAGCTTCGGATTCCATATCACTTCCAAACGATCGATTGCAAATTTGAAACAAACAGCAATATCCAGTAAACCCAGAACAAGAAGAAGGATTGATGTAACTCACGGGTTTTTTCAGACAATGAAGAAGGTGATCAGCTAAACAATCCTCAACACGAAATCCGACTCAGAGGAAATGATTAGATTCTTCTCTACTAAATCTAACAATGCGCAAATCTAGGAATCAACATGTCTGAAATTGCTGAGCGGAAGAGATCTCTAAAAGCTTGAAAGTCAAAAAAATTAAAATTAAAATAGAAATTAAAAAGGAAAGGGAGTTGGGCGAATAAAGAAGCTTCGGTTGAAACTTTTGGAGACATTTGGGCCTTATAGATTATGGGCTTGTTCACAAATAAGGCCCATGCAAGCCCAATATGAAATCTAAGAAGAAATGAAATGAATGAAACCCTATTCACTTCTTCGTAGTTTCAGTTTCAGAGCTCGAACTCCTTCCTCTAATGGAAGTTTTCTTCAGCGGAAACCACTTTTAAGCCCTCACACCTCAAATCTCGAAATCCTAGGGATTTTCTCCGCCATGGAAGAAGTCTCCGAAGGAAAGGAATTCTCTTTCCC